CAGACAGACAGACAGACAGACAGACAGACAGACAGAGCAAAATGTTATGCATAGCTGTTGAATGCAAAATATTATAAAGAAATATGCTTTTCAACCCAACATACAGAAAGAGTGATTTCCAGCTGCATATACACATTGCGAAATAGTTTATGGAAAGCTCTAAAATTCACTAAAGCTGAAAACCAGCACGATCAGCACTGTGCTCATCCTGAGTGACTCGGGTGGACCATCGAGTGACTCAAATGGATGTGATCTTTCATTTTGTGAAAGCGAGTAATGCTTTCTACAGAAATAGCCTGAGAAAACCTGACAAAGAACATGACAAAAAAAGAGGAAAGGGAAAAGGAAAAGTATCTTTTTCCGGCTCTGTGCTGTCGGTCAGAATTCCACCCCCGAAGCACAGAGGCCATCAATCAATTCTGCAAGCATTCAAGGAACCTAGCAGACTGACTCCAGATCAAGCTTGTGCAGAACAAGGTGGCTTTTTTTTTTTTTTTTAGATCACAACATTGCAAACCCCGTTTATCCAAGACCCACCCTTATTGAACTCAGCACTGTTAGTTTTGGGATAGACATTCCTAGCACTGTTCTGTTAAAGAGGTGGGGTTCCCCCCCACACACACACAAAACAATCCTTATCTCAAGATGATTGTGTTGAATTACACGCAAAGTCCCTTTCTTCCATGTCAAGTTCTCAGCTTCCAGCCAAATTTACGTTTGCATCTGTCTTCGCTTCCTGTGTGACTCAGCTTTCCTCTCCAAGCAGGAATTAGCTCAATAAACCTATGACTTTTACTTTGTGTCCAGAAAATACATCAGCCTATTGTTTTTTTTCCCCAAACAAAAAGAAATAGCAAATTTTATGTTGGAAATATGTACTCACAATCAACTTCGTGTTCCTGGTGAATACGTTCCAAAACAGGCCTTATTTTTAGCATCCTTCTCCTGAAGATGTGAGCGTAAATACTTTGTGGAATACAGTAGTCCAAAGCACCAGAAGGCAGGAGAAGAAGCAACAGATGGAAACTAATCAAGGAGAGAACTAACCTAGAACTAAGGAGGAATTTCCTAAGAGTGAGAACGACTTGCCTCCAGAAGCTGTGGGTGCTCCATCACTGGAAGTTTTTAAGAGATTGGACAACCATTTGCCAACCATTTGCCTGGATCAGAAGCAACGGATGGAAACGAATCAAGGAGAAAAGCAACCTAGAACTAAGAAGAAACTGCCTAACAGTGAAAACAATTAACCAGTGGAACAACTTGCCTCCAGAAGTTGTGGGTGCTCCATCACTGAAGATATTTAAGAAGAACCCGGACAGCCAATTGTCAGAAATGGTATAGGGTTTCCTGCCTGAGCAGGGAGTTGGATTAGAAGATCTCCAAGGTCCCTTCCAACTTTGTTATTCTGTCAAAGTGGGGATCATCTAATCTCTACAGGGGTGATGTTCCAAAGGAAGGGAGCCACTACAAAGGAGATCCTTCTTCTGGGTCCCGCCAGATGTTACTCCTTAGGAGAGAGGACCCACAACATTCCTTGCTTCCCCGCTCTGGTGATGTAATAGTATTTTATCATGCAAAATCTCACCATATTATGCTTTCATAGGCTAAAGCTCCGGTTTTGTCTAAAGTATTCTCCAAGACTATGAAATAGACAACTCCACTTAATGTAGTATGTTGTACAAATTAAACCACTTGATGGGCAGATTTTAATAGAAAAAAAAAACTACTTTGCTTCCTGATCAGTAGGTTTTTTTTTTTTAAGAATGGTTATAACCCCCAAGCTCATAGTGTCCAAATATTTCTCTCAACTCTAACAAATGGAGCTGTTGATCTCTTTCCTTGATCAAATCCAACTGCTAATTCTTCACTTGCTGGCATATCTGGACAGCTAAATTTAGCACATTTAAATGGAAATTGAAACAAATCAAGCCTCACTGGATTCTGCATATTTTGGCCTGGAAAAAGGCTAAATTTGTCTATTACAGTCAAGTAGAAAGTATCTTAAAAAATGCAACTTCCAGTTAGGATTCCTAGTGAATAAGACATTTCCAAGGGTGTAGAGATGGGAGTCTGGTGAGAACAATGGCTAGAAGGAATTTCTAACCAGCAAAGTCTCTCTGGATAAAGAAGAGCTCGTGAGATTGCCCATGTGCACTCCAGACAGCTGTTTTTTCATAAATAAATGGTAGAAACTGGGCTTTCTGCATTTAACTCTTGAGTTGAGTGGCTGGAAACCAGGGGATTTCCACACACAGCAGAACCGCAATGCAGCCTTTCTGAGTAAAACACTGATTTGGGAAAGCTACGAATGGTCTAGGATTCAAATTATTATTTAAAAAAAATGAAGTTATCCAGAATACGCAATTTTTTTAAAAAACGGTTCAGAACAATGTGACTCAGTTGATGATAATAGAGGCCTCCTGCAAACATTAGCCTGTTGTTTTACCTTGGGATTATTCAAGGCTAAAATAGGACCGGCTTCTCATATCACATTAAAAATAGAATAGAATAGAGCTGGAAGGGACCTTGGAGGTCTTCTAATCCAGCCCCCCGCTTAAGCAGGAGAATTTAAACCATGTCAAACAGGTAGTTGTCTAGTCTCTTCTTAAAAATCTCCAGCAATGGAGCACCCACAATGTCTGGTGGCAAGCTGTTCCACTGGTTAATTGTCCTCACTGTCAGGAAGTTTCTCCTTAATTCCAGGTTGCTTCTCTCCTTGATTAGTTTCCAACCATTGTTTCTCGTCCTTCCCTCTGGTCCTCTGGTGAACAACCTGGCCCCTTCTGCCTTGTGGCAGCCCCTCAGATACTGAAACATTGAAACACTGTTATCATGTCTCCCCTAAATCACTGCTTGCTGGTTCATGGCTTAGTGTATAGTACAGTGGGACCTGCAATTTGTCGTTTAGGATATTTCCTGTTCTGGAAATCCAGCCAGTGGGGCCTAATTCAGTTGACCGGGCTAACACAAGCCAGAGGTCAGTGTGATGCCTACAAACTGGTAAGTAGGATTTTTTTTTGAGAGAAAAAATAGGCTGAAAGGAAACAGACCGACATGACGCAATAATCCACTGGGCGATCTCACTTAGATCCAGTCAGATATGTCTAGATCTCTACTGATGCCAGTGGAGACAAGAGTCAGGTCTATTCCAATGCTGTGTACGCAGAGAGAAACCCCGTGAAACTCAATGGGGTTTAATTTGGGTGACTTTAGCAACCACATGTGGCTTGAGGGCTCCCCGCCCCTTTACTGCAATTCCTAGAACTTCGTGCGGAAGAGTGGGAGGTAAGGGATATATGTGGGTTCGAGTAACTTACTCAGTTTCACAGAAGAGTGGAAGGTAAGAGATATATGTGTGTTTGAGTAACTTACTCGGCATCATTCAATTGCACCCTCCCGTTAGTTTTGTGGCAAAACTAACTCCAGAGGCCAGCAGTGTCTACTTGAAGCTCTTTCCCCACATCAGCAAAACTCCTCATGGGTGTATTTGCAAAATGGTTCACCTTTCTTCCAGTTTTGTGTCCAGAGAACACCAGAGGCCCTCCTCAAATCGCAGGGACTAGCTGGGCCTCTGAAGAATGGTTGTAGGAATTGGGTAGGTCCAGTCTAATGAAGAGAAAAACTTGGGATGACATGATGATTGTCTTCCAATATTTGAGGGGCTCTTAAAAAGAAGGGGGGTGTCAACCTATTTTCCAAAGCATCAAAGTATTAGTACTGCTTTATAAAACTGTAGTAAGGCCACACCTGGAATACTGCAGTCAATTTTGGTCACCATATCACAAAAAAGATGTTGAGAGTTTGGAAAAAAATTCAGAGAAGAGTAACTAAGATGATCAAAGGCCTGGAGACTAAAATATATGAAGAACGGCTGCGGGACTTGGGTTTGGCCAGTCTAAAGAAAAGAAGAAATAAGGGAGACATGATAGCAGTGTTCCTGTATCTGAAGAGCTGCCACAAGGCAGAGGGGGCCTGGTTGTTCACCAAAGCACCAGAGGGCAGGACAAGAAACAATGTTTGGAAACTGATCAAGGAGAGAAGCAACCTGGAATTAAGGAGAAACTTCCTGACAGTGAGAACAATCAACCAGTGGAACAGCTTGCCCCCAGAAGTCGTGGACACTCCATTGCTGGAAAATTTTAAGAAGAGACTAGACAATCTGAGATGGCATAGTTCTCTTGCTTGAGTAGGGGGCTGGAGTAGAAGACCTCCAAGGTCCCTTCCAGCTTCTATTCTATTTATGTTCTGTTCTTTTCCGTTCTGTTCTGTTCTGTTCTGTTCTATTCTATTCTAAGCGAGACAAGAAACAATGGATGAAAATGAATTAATGAGAAAACTAATCTAGAACAAAGGAGAAATTTCTTGATGGTGAGAATAAGGAATTAGTGGAACAATTTGCCTCCAGGAGTTGTGGGTGCTCCATCACCGGAGGCTTTTAAGAAGCGGTTGGGCAGCCATTTGTCTGGAATGGGTCTGCGGCAGGGGACGGGAAAGGGGGGGTTGGACTAGAAGACCTCCAAGGACCCATCCAACTCTCTCATTCTGATGACTTTGGGTAAACGGATGCCTTTTAGCAGGTAAATATCACCTAACGCTTATGCCCGTTTATCCAGAATCACAGATACCCAGGTTCTGCCACAGAACCCAGCTTGGGCTTGTTATAACCCAACACAGAGGCGCAATTGCGCTTCCCAAAAAGGGAACTCAAGGCGAGTCCTGCCGCCGCTTCGCTTCCTGGTCCGGCTCGGATCCTGTAGCTCACCCCACCCCGACCTCCGGCTGCCTCTTTCATCCCTTCCCGTCTCCATCAGTCGTGAGGACTTTGCTTTCGCTTCCTCCTTAGCCAGTTCCACCCTTCCCCGCCGCAGCAAGCAAAGACACGCGAAAGCGTCTCCCCCCCTTTTTTCCCCTTCTTTTTAATCACACAGACACGCAAACCCGGTCTCTCTCTCTCTCTCTCTCTCTCTCTCTCTCTCTCTCTCTCTCTCTCTCTCTCTCTCTCTCTTTCTCTCTCTCTCTCTCTCTGTGTGTGTGTGTGTGTGTTTGTGTATGTTTCTGTCTCCAGCGGCTGCGTCCTTTCCAAAGCCACTTTCCAAGAGTAGGTGCGGCAGCAAAGCCGGGCCGGGCAGAAGGGAAAGGCGTGGTTCCACCCCCTCAGTTGGTTTCTCCGGAGGATGGGCCGATTTCACCAATGTCAGCCTATTTATACCCGGGCGCTTTTTTAAATCCAAGAGCCACAACATACGGTACCTCCGGCTCGGGAGCCCCTGGGACCAAAGTCATGCCTTTGCCGGAGCCGAGAAGCGCGTGGAGACGCGGCGGCGGCGGCTGCTGCTGCGGCAGGTGCGGGCGCGGGCGCGGTGTTAAGAAGCGCGAGGTTCAAGCGCTCCGCTGCCTTTGCGCGCTCAGCTGCCTGGGGATGCTGGTCCTGGCTCTGCCGGTCCTGTACTTGATGCGAGCCAAGCTGGCGGAGAAAGCAGCGATCGAGGAGGAGGTAAGGAGGGGTCGGTTGGCTGGGGTCCACTCTCCCCAGATGGCCTGGAAGAGGCTTCTGGTCTTCCCCAGCTGGCAGCAGGGATGGAGAGGATGCGCGTTGCCTTGGAGGAGGCTGTCAAGTTTTTAATTTGTCCTTGCAGCAAGGGAGGGCCACGGAACCTACAATCCGGTGCTTGCCTCTCTCTCTCTCTCTCTCTCTCTCTCTCTCTCTCTCTCTCTCTCCTCTCTCTCTCTCCCTCTCTCTCTCCCCCCCCCCCAAAAGACATCTGGGCTTTTTCTTCCTGCAAGATGTTTCGCTTCTCATCCAAGCAGCTTCTTCGGTTCTTGGCGGAGAAGCGAAATGCCTTCAAGAGGGAAAAAAAGAAAGCGAGTCCAGTTGCCTTTGGGAGGGGGGAAAAAAGCCCCTTTAGGACAACAGTGACCTGGATGACTGAGAATCTCCACAGACATATAATCGTAAGACTGGATGGGACCTTGGAGGTCTTCTAGTCCAGTCCTCCCTGCCCACAGCAGGAGATCCTATTCTGGACTGATGGTTGTGTGATAGGGTGGGGAATAGGTAGGACCTTTGAGGAGAACCGCGAAGTTCAGCCAAGTGGTTGCCCATTTCTGCCATGCCCAAGAACTCCATCAGACCAGCTGGTTGGTGGGACAAGAGAAAAAAGGAAGGACAGGATGAGGAAAAGGAAGGGATCGTTTGACCATTCCTTGGGAGATGAGCAAAGCCACTGAGGTGGTTCTCCTATAGGCATCTAGAAGAGGAAGAAGGCAGGTCTTAGGATAATGAAGGGCCTTGTGTCCAGATGTGATTGGAAGCCCCATCCCCTTCTTTTGCTTTTCTCCTGCTAGTTTTCTTCACTTCCCAGACTCCAGCTTCAACTGGATTGGAGTCCATCAATTTGAATAACAGCCAGCTCAAGAAGTGCTTAAGCTGATGAAATGCAAAATCAGAACACACATTGGCTGCCATAATCATAGTAATCCATGCAGATCTGATGGCTCGCTAGGGTTGGTAGTAATTGATAGTCAGCAAATTGTTGATAGACAATCATTTCTCCAGGATGACTTGAGGTCTCCTGCCTTGGGCAAGGAGTTGGACTTGAAGACCTCCAAGGTCCCCTCTGACATGGTGAGCCTATGAATCTATGATGATCAGATTCTCTAATTTGATGTATTATTATGATGGGTCACAGCAGGGTCAACCAGATGTTTAGACTGGATTGGGCATTTTGTCCATCTCATTAAAGCCTTCCCAGTTATTATTAAGATGATGATTCCAAAATTTAAAAAAAAAGTCTGTTTGTTACTCTCAGACCGCCTTGCAAGGTAGTCTAAATCAGAGAAGCCACAAGTGGCTTAAAGCGTCTCAAACAAACAGTTTGGGAAGCCATTTGAACTCAGAACTCCCTGATTTCCATCACAATTGTGCTGGAATTGTAGCGGTGGAGTGGAATTTTGGCCCCACTGAAACTCGGACGGGCGCCTGGCCAGAGGACCAGCCATGGTTCTGAACCTCAAGAGTTTCCAAAATATTCGAGGCTTTTCCAAGAGAGGCTCGGAGACATCTTCCCCGGTGGACGTGGAGGGTGGAAGGATCTCCCTCCCATGGATGGTTTCCTCCTCCCATGGATGGTTTCCTCCTCCCTCTCCAGAATGGATGTGTGGTTTTTCACTCCATGGAAGGAGACCACCAACTGCAAGACGTTCTTTCACGCTGCTCTCTGCCAAGTGTTCAACAGTGAAACTGGAAAATGCTGTTATGTTTCAGGTCACTGAAACAAGCGTCACGCCTAGTTGGACAGCCGCTGTTTGGCTGTCTCACGCGTCCTCTAATCATCTACCCTTCGCTTTAGCTGGCACGTGGCGGTGCGTTCACCTGCTGATCGCTCCATCCCTTGCCCCAAATGAAATTAAATGCCCGGTGTTCTGTAGAGAAATAGTTGGAGTGAACTGAAAAACCTTTAGCGAGCTAGCCAGGCCTATTTTGAAAAGTCAAAGCTGATGGACTGTGGGATCCTTGGTGCTCTCTGAGCTTGGGGGCTTTCTTGCAGACATTTCGTTACCAAACTAGGTAGCGTCATAAGCACAAGGAGTTTGTGGGGAAGGGGAAAGAGAAGGAGAAGGAGGAGAAGGAGGACTGTGGGGTCCTTGGTGATCTCTGAGCTTGATGGCTTTCTTGAAAATATTTCATTACCAAACTAGGTAGCATCATCAGTGTTAGGAGTTTGTGGAGAAGGAGAAGGAGGAGGAGGAGGAGGAAAAGTGTGGGGGTCTCTGAACCTGGTTGTTTTCTTGCAAACATTTCATTGCCAAACTAGGTAACATCATCAGTGCAACTGATAGCAGACCACAGCCTCTGGCCTTACAAAGATGCTGATTTAAATAGTTAGACCTCCCTAGCGGGAGGATGAATTGTTCAGTCCTCTCCATATTTTGAGCTGTTCTCCCCACAGCTGAACAGTGCATCAATGTTTTGCGTCAATATCTGCTCTGGCATTTGGCCAGAAGAGAGTTCAGAGTGCTGATTGTAAGAGTCACGCTGCTGTTGTTATGAAGTTGGGCCCGTCCCAGCTGGACCTGTGTCAAGGGTTGTAACCTTGTGTCTCAGAAATGATGTGTAACGCAGGCTGATTTTCAGTCCGTTGCACCATCCGCAAATCACTTCTGCACCATTGAGCTAATGGGCTGCGTTGTAGGAGGCATTCAAAACTGTTCTCCAAAAGGGGTGGAACTGTTGCTCTCTGAGCTTGGTGGTTTCCTTGCAGATGTTTCATGATCCAGCTACATAGCATCATCAGTGCTAGAAGGGAATGGAGTTTGCAGAGAGGAGGAGGAGGAGTGTGGGGTCCTTTAAACTTGGTTTTCTTGCAGACATTTCGTGACCCAACTAGGGAACATCATTAATAATAATAATAATAAAGTTGGAAGGGACCTTGGAGATCATCTAGTCCAGGGGTAGGCAACCTCAGCTCTTTTATGACTCATAGACTTCAACTCCCAGAATTCCATGAGTTGAAGTCCATGAGTCATAAAAGAGCCGAGGTTGCCTATCCCTGATCTAGTCCAACCCCCTGCTCAGGCAGGAAACTCTATACCATTTCAGATAAATGGCTGTCCAGTCTCTTCTTAAAAACTTCCATTGTTGGAGCATTCACCACTTCTGGAGGCAGGTTGTTCCATTGGTTAATTGTTCTGTCAGGAAGTTTCTCCTTAGTTCTAGGTTGCTTTTCTCCTTGATTGGTTTCCATCCGTTGCTTCTTGCCCTGCCTTCAGGCACCTTGGAAAATAGCTTGACTCCCTCTTCTCTGGGGCAGCCCTTGAGATAGTGGAACACTGCTATCCTGTCCCCCCTTGTCCTTCTCTTCATTAAACTAGACATACCCAATTCCAGCAACCGTTCCTTATATGCTTTAGCCTCCAGTCCCCTGATCATGTTGGTTGCTCTTCTCTGCACTCTTTCTAGAGTCTCAACATCTTTTTTACATCGTGATGACCAAACCTGGATGCAGTATTCCAAGTGTGGCCTTACCAAGGCGTTGTAAAGTGGTAGTGGGTTTGCTCCCTATTTTAATACAGCTCCTTACCTACGGTAGCTGAGTATTAAAATTTCCGGAAGGAAACAACCAACCTCAGAGAATACCAAGGACCCAACATTTAACCCTGAGGCTGCAGAATAGCTAACATGAGTCAGCTTTTGGCTGAGCTCTCCTAAGCCACTGACATCCCCACCTCTTCCTGCAGAGTTTCTAATGTTAAGATGCTTGTAGAAGACTTCATTTAAACAGGGGGTTTTGAAATTCCAGGGAAGCCCTTTTGGGGAATCTGTGCATGAGGGGGAAAAAAGTTCTCTTTATCCTAAATCCTTTATCCTTGCAAACCTCCCATCACACCATGAAAATGGCAAATAAAATCACAACAGAGGCAGGAAGGGAACGTAACTACGAAACAAACCGGATCCTCCATTCGAAAGGAACAGGCGTGTTTATTTTTGCTATCGGGATTTTATCAATGGAATGTGAACCGGGCTTGGCTGCTGGCTGCAGGAATGGCGAACTGGGCGGCTGATAAGGGAACATGGTTTGCTGATTGGCAATTCTTGCTCTCTCTTGATTCGGTTTCTTCCCTAGCTGGCTGAATGTGAATTGATGCTGTTATGGCTAGTTTTAACACCCTGTTGTTGTCCAGGGAGCTGCCTTGAGCCAAGATGTGCATCCCCAGAAAAACCATCAAAGGAGTCTTGGAGGTGACCCCCTTGTATAAAAGATGTTGGAAAGAGTGCAGAGAAGAGCAACAAAGATGATTAGGGGAGAAAACCTATGAAGGACGGTTGCAGGAATTGGGTATGTCTAGTTTAATGAAGAGAAGGACTTTAGGATGACATGGTGGCAGTCTTCCAATATCTCAGGGGTTGCCACAAAGAAGAGGGGGTCAAGCTATTCTCCAAAGCATCTGAAGGCAGGACAATAAGCAATGGGTGGAAACTAACCCAAGGAGAGAAGCAGAAAGAACTAGAACTAAGGAGAAATATTCTATTCTATTCTATTCTATTCTATTCTATTCTATTCTATTCTATTCTATTCTATTCTATTCTATTCTTATTCTATTTTCTGCATTCTATTCTATTCTATTCTATTCTATTCTATTCTATTCTATTCTACTCTACTCTATTCTCCATATTCCATACTTTATTCTATTCCATATTTCTATTTCATATTTCTATTCCATATTTCTATTCTATTCTATTCTATTCTATTCTATTCTATTCTATTCTATTCTATTCTATTCTATTCTATTCTATTCTATTGCATTCCATTCCATTCCACTCCACTCCACTCCACTCTACTCTACTCTACTCTACTCTACTCTACTCTCCATATTCCATACTCTATTCTATTCTATTCTATTCTATTCTATTCTATTCTATTCTATTCTATTCTATTCTATTCTATTCTATTCTATTCTATTCTATTCTATTCCATTGTCTTCCAGTCCTACCCTCTGCTCAAGCAGGAGATCTTATATCATCCTAGACAAACGGCTATCCAATCGCTTCTTGAAAACCTCCAGCGACGGAGCACCCACAACCCCATTGCTTGATTCTTGTCACTGTCAGGGAATAACAGAATAACAGAGTTGGAAGGGACTTTGGAGGTCTTCTAGTCCAACCCCCTTTTTCCTTTAGTGGTAGGTGGGTTCTCGCCTAAGTTCCAGGTGGGATCTCTCTCTGACTAGCTTCCACTCATTGGTTCTTGTCCTGCCCTCTGAGGCTTTGAAGAATTAATCCCCTGTCTCTGTGACAGCCCTTCAAGGATTGGAAGGTGCTATCCTGTCTCCCCTTAAGCCTTTTCTTCATTAGAGTGGACGTATCTATTTCTCCCAGATGCTCATCATAGGATTTAGCCTCCAGACCCCTGGTCGCTGATTATCACTGGTTTTTCCAAACTCCTTATCCCAAGAACATCCCTGGTTTTGTAGGTAGCCCTTGGCTTTTCCGTGGTAAGGAAGGAAGGAAAAGAAAGAAATTTCCCAAAAGGTGCTTTTTCAAAAGGCAACTGGACTTTCTCAGCTTTTTTTTTCCTTGAAGATGTTTTGCTTCTTGTCCAAAAAGCTTCTTCACTTCTCGGCACGGTGTACAGTTCTTTGAACTGAAGAAGATTCTTGGATGTGAAGTGAAATATTCTCAGGGGAAAAAAAAAACCCAAGAAAGTACATCGGCTTTTTAAAAAGCATCCTAGGGGCAAGCATGACCTAGATGATTGAAAATCTCCATCGGCAAAAGAAAACATTGAATTTCTGCTGGTCATTGCAGGAAAAGAACCAAGTTGCCAATCTCTTTATGCATGGTTGCACATTAATTTGCAGAACAATTATTCAAATTTCTTTCCATTTCCCTCAGGGAGTTATTCTGAAAACCATCTCTCTCTCTCTCTCTCTTTCTCTCTCTCTCTCTCATCCTTCTGGTGTTTCGACCACAAAGGACATTTCTTTCCTTTGTGACTCAGTCATTTTACTGTTTCAAAGCTAGCCAGCAGAAATCACGGGAACATTTCTTGTTCATTCTTCTCAAAGTGGCTTTGGTGATCCATGTTTAACTATCAATCATTTGCAAGCAACAGATGTTAAGTTTACATCCGATACACGAATTCCAGCTACATTAGCTAGTATTTACTGTACTTGGTTCACTTAACTGGGTTTATTTAAAAAAGGAAGTCTGCCAGGAGATGGTAATCAGACGTTGTCTCAGACCATGCATTGCTCAAGACATGCATTTGTGTTAACCACAGATTGCTGAATAATATATAGCAGCATTAAGCTAATAAAACCTGTTTGATACCCTGGGCTGAGCCCAAACCAAGAAAACCACATTATGACTTAGCCACAAATTGTATCGATATCGCCAAAAACTAGCAGTGCCTCCCTAAGATTCTAAAAGGATTGCTCCTGGAAAGATTTGGGTGCAAGACCTATATTTAACCATCCCCTTGACATCTTGTCAATGCAATCTTCTCCAAGATTCTTCCAAGCACTTCCTGAAGGCAGAACGAGGAGCAACAGATGGAAACTCATCAAGGAGAGAACCAACCTAGAACTAAGGTGAAATTTCCGGACAGTGAGAACAATTAGTGGACCATCTTTCCTCCAGAAGTTGTGGGTGCTCCAACACTGGAGGTTTTTAAGAAGAGACTGGACAACCATCTGTCTGAAATGGTATAGAGTTGCCTGCCTGAGCAGGGGGTTGGACTAGAAGATCTCCAAGGTCCCTTCCAACTCTGTTTCAATTATTAAATTGAATTAAATAGTGGCTGGAACTGAATTCAGTTACCCTCTAAAACACCAACAGGGACAGCCCCAGCTGCTTTAGAATAGCTAGAAAAATGGAAGCCGCTGTTGCAAAAGGAAGGAAACTTTGGACAAATGAGCATGTACAGGTGCTAGAAGGTGATGCTCAAGGAAGAACTCACTGAAGAAGGGTCCAATGCTGTGAAAAATTGAGGGCAAGAGAAGAAGGGGACGACAGAGAATGTGGTGGCTGGATGGAGTCACTGAAGCAGCAGGCGTGAGCTTCAATGGACTCCAGAAGATGATAGAGGACAGGAAGGCCTGGAGGAACGTTGTCCATGGGGTCGCAATGGGTCAGACACGACTTCGCAATTAACAACGACAACAACAAGGTGATGCAGTGGGTCAAGCGTTAAGATGCTGGACTTGATGCTGGAAAGCCAGTAGCCCAGGTTTGAGACCCGAGCACCACATGATGGGGAGAGCTCCAGTTCCTCGCTCCTGCTAATCTAGCAGTTCAAAAGTATGCAAATGCGAGCAGATAAATAGGTACCACTTCGGTGGGAAGGTCACAGCGCTCCGTGATATATATATTTTTACCAATATTCTTGAATATATATATATATATATATATATATATATATATATTCTCCATAGACATAAAAGCTTTCCAGCTGCACCTCTGTTCAAATTACCTACTTTGGGTCAGTAAAAACACTGAAGTTAATCTGAAGCATTTTATTTGATCGCTTGACAATCCAGTTGCTTCAGATTAGTGCAAAGTGTTATTTTCCCTGTGAGCTCTCTTTGGGTGGGTTTTCGTACAGATATGTCATGACCCAACTAAGGAACATCATCAGCTCTAGAAGGAGTGGAATTTGCAGAGGCGAGGAGGAGGAGGACTGCGGGGTCCTTGGTAGTCTCTGAGCTTGGTTGTTTTCTTGCAGTTGTTTCATTACCCAATTAAGTAACATTATCAATGCTAAAAGGGAGTGAGGTTTGCTCTCAATTTATGTGCAGTTCCTTCTAGCAATGGTGATGTTCCCTAGTTTGGTAATGAAACGTCTGCAAGAAAACTACGAAGCTCAGAGAGCATCAAGGACCCTACAGTCCTCCCTCCTCCTTCCTCTTCTTCCTCATCCTCCTCTTCCTCCTCCATCTCCTCCTCCTCCTCTTTGCAAACCCCACTCCCTTCTAGCACTGATGATGTTCCCTAGTTCTATTGTTATAAATGGCTTTCTTTTACAAACGTATGCTCCAAATCGTGAGAAAAGAAGACGTTACATTGATCCTAGCAATGGGCAAACTTGCTACCTCACTTCAGGCCTCTGGATAAGAATGCTCAAAGCATTTCCATTTCATGAACAGCCTCTGACCTCTGCTTTACTTTCTCAAATTGTAGACATCCTCACAGCTGTCTATCTGTCTGGAAAATGGAAAAAAAATAACTTCTAGATTCTTCAGTTCAGTATAATGGGGTCCGGGTGATGGAAGACATGAGTCAATGTCTGGATTTTGTTTGACCAGAGAAATATCAAAGAACTGAGCAGGCAGTTTTGTTGGCTGATGATGCATCTGGTCCCTTTAGCTTTAAACCTATCATGTGTCTCTGCTTCCCCTTTTGCAGATCTTGATGGAAAAGCTGTCTGCCCCCCAAAAACAGTATGGGAGTCCACCTTGCAACAACTGCGGTGAGTTTACCCCCTGCTGTCCGTTACTGTCCATTAACTTCTTGCTTTCCAAGGTGTATGTTTGTGAGTCCTTCCTTCTCATTAAGTGTCCAAAGTACTTGAGTTTCAACTTCAGGATCTGGCCTTCTAAAGAGCAGTCAGGGTTGATCTCCTCTAGGATTGACCGGTTTGATCGCCTTTCAGTAAAGCTATGACAAATCTAGACAGCATACTAAAAAGCAGAGACACCACCCTGCCAACAAAAGTGCGTATAATCAAGGCCATGGTTTTCCCAGTTGCAATGTATGGCTGTGAAAGTTGGACCATAAGAAAGGCTGAGCACCAAAGAATGGAGGCCTCTGAACTCTGGTGCTGGAGAAGACTCCTGTGAGTCCCCCGGACTGCAAGGTGATCCAACCAGTCAGTCCTAGAGGAGATCAACCCCAATTGCTCTTTAGAAGGCCAGATCCTGAAGTTGAAACTCAGGTACTTTGGCCACCTAATGAGAAGGAAGGACTCCCTGGAGAGGAGCCTAATGCTGGGAAAGATGGAGGGCAATAGAAGAATGGAACGACAGAGAATGAGGTGGCTGGATGGAGTCACGGAAGCAGTAGGCGTGAGCTTCAGTGGACTCCAGAAGATGGTAGAGGACAGGAAGGCCTGGAGGAACGTTATCCATGGGGTCACGATGGGTCAGACACGACTTCGCAACTAACAACAACTGTGTGTAGGAAACACAGATCATTTTTTTTTTCATTCATTCATTCCTTGTATCATTGCCTAATTATGACTTAACTATGGTGCAACAGATTTATAGCAGAATAACTGAATTCTCTCACTAGACATTAATTCCATAAGGGGAAATGACACTGCTGAGGGAGGAAAAAAAACTCACTTCAGTAATTACGAAATACTATTTGTGGCCTGTTCCACTGAGGCTAATAGGTGCTATTTTAGGTTTTTAACCTCATGACTGGAATTTAACAATAAACAGTGGAACAGAGTCACAGTCAGCCCAGCCCAGCCAGGAAAGACACAATTTCTCTTGGCTCGAAAGAAGGAAAGTTGTCAGACAGCAGATGCTTTGTAGATGTTCGTCCAGGGATGTTGCAGTTTTCAGACCCAAATCCAGAAAGGAAGGAACTCATATTTTCTGGCCTAGAATTCACACAAATGCCTGAAAGGAATCGGGAATTGGGGATAGAAAGAATTTCCTAGAAAATCTTCTAAAGTATAATGACCAGAATAACAGACAAACTGAGAAAGAAGAATATTTGCAGTTCAGGGTTGAAATGAGGGGTCCTGGGTGCTCTCTGAACTTGCTTCTTTTCTTGCAGACATTTCATTACCCAACAAGGTAGCCTCATCATTGTTAGAAGGGAATGGGAGAGGAGGAGGAGGAGGAGGAGGAGGAGGAGAATGATGACTGTGGAGCTTGTTACTCTCTGAACTTGCTTCTTTTCTTGCAGACATTTCATTACCCAACAAGGTAGCCTCATCATTGTTAGAAGGGAATGGGAGAGGAGGAGGAGGAGGAGGAAGAGGAGGAGGAGGAGGAGGAGGAGAATGATGACTGTGGAGCTTGTTACTCTCTGAACTTGCTTCTTTTCTTGCAGACGTTTCATTACCCAACAAGGTAGCCTCATCAGTACTAGAAGGACTGAAAAGATAAGATAGATAAGATAACCTTTATTGTTACTTTTTTGTATGAGTACACTGGCACAGATTAAAAAATGTTGGGGGGTTGGACTAGAAGACCTCCAAGGTCCCTTCCAGCTCTATTCTGATTGATATTGATTGATACTTGGAGAATGAGACGTCTGCAAGAAAACAACCAAGATCAAAGAGGTCGCAGGACCCCTAGTAACAGATGTAAGCTACTCAAATATGATTCCTGCATATGGAATTCTGTAGTTATGATCAAAAAGGAAAGCTGAGATTTCAATATCGCAATTAGGTATTCCAATGCAATATATGTCTGGGTTGAGAGGAAAAGGTGTAGCCATAAAGACGTTCCGCGGTTTCTTAATAGCTACATTTCTTAAAAGCAGCTGTGCATTTGTCATTGGTAAGGAATTCTCTTCTGGAATTTTATCAGAATGTGGTTTGCAAATTACAGAGATATTATTCTGGTGGTGTTAACATTTTTTTCCCCCTTTATATTTCAGATTCTAAAATACGGCCGAGCATTCATGCAAGAGGTAAAAAAAAATTTAGCAAGTCCAAAATGCTCCTTTCCCATGGGTCGCCCTGAAGGTGCTTTACAAGAAATTTGTAACTGTTCCTTTGAATAAACAGAGCTTCATTTGAGGACCTGTAATGGACCTTTTAGTTTAGAAGTTCTTCAGCTTATATTATAGCGTTATAAATGAGTATGCTACAGGATTGTAACTGTGAGTAGGATCTAGGAGTCCTAGTGGACCATCATTTTAGTAGGAGCCAGCTGCCAAAAAAGCCAACGCAATCCTAAGCTGCATCCACTGAGGGATAGTATCAAAATCACGTGAGATGTTCGTACTACTTTATACGTCTTTGATAAGACCATATTTGGAATAAGGCATCCAGATGTTGGAAAGAGTGCAGAGAAGAGCAACAAAGATGATTAAGGGACTGGAGGTTGAAACCTATGATAAATGATTGCATGAACTGGGTAACAGAGCGAAAGACTCGGGGGGGGGGGGTGACATGATAGCATTGTTCCAATATTTGAGTGGCTGTCAGAGGGAAGAGGGGGTTGACTTATCCTACAAAGCGCCTGAAGGCAGGACAAGAAGCAATGGGTGGAAACTAATCAAGGAGAGAAGCAACCTAGACCCAAGCAGAAATTTCCTGTTAGTGAGAACAATTAATCAGTGGGACAGCTTGCCTCCAGAAGTTGTGCTTGCTCCATGACTGGATGTTTTTAAGAAGAGAGTGGGCAGCCATTTGTCTGAAATGGTATAACACAGGGTTGGATTAGAAGACCTCCAAAGTCCTTCCAACTTTGTTATTTGGTATTCTGTGTTCTATCTGCGTTGTATCTGTGGTTTGGGTCTGTCCAGCACAAAGGGCACAGTCAGTTGCTAGAACTAGGTCTTCTTTTTAGTACGATGGATAGCAAAATTAAATTTGGCCTGCGCTCGAGAGATTAGAAAACAGGATCGTATCGTCAAACGTCCAGCGTGAACCTGCCAGTAAACTAGATTTTCTTTCTCTTTATTCACAGTCGATTCCGGGAGCAAATGTATAAATGAGACTCAGGAGGGTTCAACTCTCGTCTGGGATATTGACTTCCAAGATGGCCAGTTCCAGCTGGATGACAACAGTACTTATTTCATCATCCCCCAAGATGGGAACTATTTCGTTTACTCCCAAGTGACGTTTTCCTGCTTTAAGTGCAATTGTGAAGAGAAAATTTGCTGCGGGAAGAAAACGAAAGGGACAAGGAAGGTCTGGCAGACGATTATACATAAAACATCAGCCTATCCCAAACCCAGCGAGTTGTTCACATCCATCAGCCCCATCAACGAGAGCAAATCGCTGAAAAGCCTTTATCTGGCAGGAATCATCCCGTTAAAGAAAGACGAGAGGCTTATGGTTAATGTTTCCAACCCCGGATTGGTACAGCCAGATGTTCGGTACACTTTTTTTGGTGCATATCTCATTAGCTAAAGATAAGGATTCCAACAGCTGCCTAGCATTAGTGTCCAGGGTGGGATTGTGGTGGCGTTGCTGGGTTTTTGCTAAGCTAGGTGCTGTTGGAAAAAGAAAGAAAGAAAGAAAGAAAGAAAGAAAGAAAGAAAGAAAGAAAGAAAGAAAGAAAGAAAGAAAGAAAGGAGGGAGGGAGGGAGGGAGGGAGGGAGGAAGAAAGAAAGAAAGAAAGAAAGAAAGAAAGAAAGAAAGAAAGAAAGAAAGAAAGAAAGAAAGAAAAAAAGAAAGAGAAAGAAGGGAGGGAGGGAGGGAGGAAGGAAGAAAGAAAGAAAGAAAGAAAGAAAGAAAGAAAGAAAGAAAGAGAAAGAAAGAAAGAAAGAGAAAGAAAGAAAGAAAGAAAGAAAGAAAGAAAGGAGGGAGGGAGGGAGGGAGGAAGAAAGAAAGAAAGAAAGAAGGGAGGGAGGGAGGGAGGGAGGGAGGAAGGAAGGAAGGAAGGAAGGAAGGAAGGAAGAAAGAAAGAAAGAAAGAAAGAAAGAAAGAAAGAAAGAAAGAAAGAAAGAAAGAAAGGAAGGAAGGAAGAAAAAAGATGAAAGGAAACTCAGGGTTAAGATGACTTCCAAAACTGTCCCCATATAGTTGGAAATATTCCTTGCTGTACCATTTGCAAAGGGGAGCGGAGAAAGTGGACAGCTCCATACGGGCAGCTCTCAACTGACAAGAGCTTGTTTGGTGACCATTTAAAGTTACAACGGCACTGGAAAAAAAAGCAACTTACAACCGTTTTTTTCACGCTTGCGACCCTTGCGGCATCCCCATGGTCACATGGATTGACCTTCAGGGGCTTGGCAACTGGCATGTACCTTTGTCAGTTGCAGGGTCCTGGGGTCACGTGATCCTCTTTTGCGACTTACTGACAAGCAAAGTCCGTGGGGAAGCCATATCCATTTAATGATCATAACAACTGCACTGGTTCCCTTAACAACTATGGCAACTGACTCGTATTTATGATTGGTTCATATCTATGACGGTTCCAGCGTCCCAGGGGTCACGCGATCCCCTTCTGCAAAGTCAATGGGCAAATCAGGTTCACTTAGCAACCATCTCCTTCGCTTAAAAACTGCGGAGATTCACTTAACAAGTAGTAGAATGGGGCAAAACTGACTTCACCACCGTCTCGCTTAGCAACAGACATTTTGGGGCTCAATTGTGGTCGTAGGTGGAGGACTATTGGTATTTGATAGAAAAGGCTGCACAAGACCAAGCCTTAAGGACAAATGCATACAAAGTCAAAATTGAGAAGACAGCAAAAGACAGTAAGTGCCGCTTATGCAAAGAAACTGAAGAAACAGTGGACCACTTGATAAGCTGTTGCAAGAAGATCGCACAGACTGATTACAAGCAGCGGCATGACAAAGTAGCAACAATGGTGCATTGGAAGATCTGCAAAAAATATCATTTGCCTGTAAGCAAAAACTGGTGGGATCATAAAATAGAGAAAGTCATAGAAAATGATAAAATTAAACTGCTCTGGGACTTCAGAATTCAAACAGACAAGCACTTGCAACATAACACCGCAGACTTAACAGATGTGAGTGTAATGTTAAAAGGGTATTCCTCCAAAATTTGGAATTTCTCAGTCCTTGAATGTATCAGAGGAAATCCTGAAACTGCAGGACAAATGTAAAAATCGTAGACTGAAAAAAATGAGATTCGCTTTCAGAATTTCAAAGGGTTCTTTGTACACACAAAGAAAAGACTAAAATTTAAGTCTGCGGTTAAAAGTGAGCCACACTTTGTCATGGGACTGTATTTTATACACACACTGTGATGTATTCTTTTTTTAAAAAAAATGTTATATATTTTTCTCTTCTCGTTTTTGTATTTTAGCACACGAAATAATAAAAAATGGAAAGAAATAAAAACAAAATATGACCTCTATTTTTGTTTTCCCGGGGGGGGGGGCAGGGAATGGATGAAAGGACCATACTCAGAATCAGAATCCAGCTGGGAGGGACCTAGGAGGTCTTCTAGTCCAGCCCCCTGCTCAAGCAGGAGACTCCCTACCATTTCATTTTTACCTCATTACCCAATGATATACCATTTTTATCTCAATACCCAGCAAAAAAGTGATCTGTTCTTAACATCCAAATGTTTTGAATTAATACGGAGACTATATTTGAGGATGTCTCTTTTCAAAAATAAATAATCAGAGTAGAATGTTTTTAAGGAGGAAAAAAACTAAGAAAGTCCAGTTGCCTTTTGAAAAAGCATCTTTGGGACAACTATGTTCTGGAGGATTAAGAATCTCTCTAGACATCCCTCTTTTTTACTTCTGTGGCTGGCAGGACTGACTGTGATGTGTTGGGATTTTACTTTACTGTTATTGAGAAATACAGACTTCTATGAAAATAAAAGCTCTCCCAGCCGGAACATCTGGAGAACATCTGTCAAAAGTCTAACTCCATGGGAGGAATGTAGAGTATGTCCTTTTCATAGCCAGCCCCATGTTCTGGAGATATATCAGCCTTTCCTATTCACCACCCAGGCTTAATCTTATTAAAGACCATCCTATTAAGCATAGAAAATAGAACGTTGAATAATGGGGTTGAAAGAGACCTGGGACCATTCTTTTGAATAGAATAGAGCTGGAAGGGACCTTGGAGGTCTTCTAGTCCTTCCCCCTGCTCAAGCAGGAGGACCTATACCATCTCAGACAAGTGATGGTCTAACCTCTTCTCAAAAATCTCCATTCTGTTAAAGATTATCCTATAAAAGACCATCTTATTAAACATGGCACAGTGACTCAAGCGGTTAAGACACTGGGTTTGTCGGCTGGAAAGCTGACAGCCCAGGTTCAAGATCCGAGCACCATGCAACGGAGTGAGCTCCCGTTCCTCGCTCCATCTCCTGCCAAACTTGCAGTCCGAAAGCACATAGATGCAACTAGATAAATAGGTACCACTTTGGTGGGAAGGTAACAGCGCTCTGTGCTGTCATGCTGGCCACATGACTGGAGAAATGTTTTAGGACAGCACTGGCTTTGAAATGGAGATAGCCACTACCTACCGTGTTTTCCCCAAAATAAGACCATTCAAAAAAGGCAGTAGGTCTCATTTTCAGGGGCTGTCTTATATTTTTCCCAAGCCCTGCCTCGCCTCACAGCGGTGGCACTGACAGCCCCATCCAGCAAGAGCCTACGTAGCCGCTGGCCCGCTTTTGTGGCCAGTTGCAGCAGGAGGTCACGCAGCCCACAATGCTGTGCTGCCACCACAAGGCGAGGCAGGTGGGGGAGGGGGTGGAGCTGTCCCAAGCACCCGATAGGCACCCAAACTCTTTTTGCCCAGAGGGAGACTGGAAGCTTCGTCTGCTTGCAAAGGGAACAGTTGGAAACAGAGGGATCCACTCTGTTTCCAACTGCCCCATTTGCAAGCAGGTGGCACTTCCAGTCTCAGTCATTTCTCTGTCCAGGTAAAAAGTCTTTGGGCGCCTATGGGGCAGTTAGAAACCTATGATCTCCAAGGTTCCCTTCAACTCTTGTTGTTGTTAGTTGCAAAGTTGTGTCCAACCCATTGCGACCCCATGGACCACATTCCTCCAGGCCTTCCTGTCCACTACCATCTTCTGGAGTCCATTTAAGCTCACGCCTACTGCTTCAGTGACTCCAACCAGCCACCTCATTCTCTGTCGTCCCCTTCTTCTCTTGCCCTCCATCTTTCCCAGCATTAGGCCCTTCTCCAGGGAGTCCTTCCTTCTCTTTAGGTGGCCAAAGTCCTTGAGTTTCAACTTCAGGATCTGGTCTTCTGAAGAGCAGTCAGGGTTGATCTCCTCCAGGACTGACCGGTTGGATCGCCTTGCAGTCCAGGAGGCTCGCAGGAGTCTTCTCCAGCACCAGAGTTCAAAGGCCTCCATTCTTTGGCGCTCAGCCTTTCTTATGGTCCAACTTTCACAGCCATACATTGCAAATGGGAAAACCATGGCCTTTTTGCTACCAGGAGCTCATTTCTCAAAAGTGGGTTGGCGATGCTATCTAGTGGTCCTGAATAGACATTTCCCATCAAGGCAATTTGGCAAAAAAGGATAGTTACAGGCAGGGCTTTTTTTCTCATAGAACACCCAGAACAGAGTTCTGGCACCTTTTTTGGATGGAACCTTGTAAGGTAGGCAAGGTATGACATATGTGAGTTCCCGCACTTTTTTTTTTTTTTTAGAAAAAAAGCACTGGTTACAGGTGAAATAATGGTGGACCACACATGAACCCAACCCATCTTGATTTTCACCACTGTCAAATGAAATCAACAACAGCTGGATTTGGGTCTACCGGCTACGTGCCTTCTCGGTGCTGTTTTTGCTGCTGACGCAGTTCTGAACAACATCAAAAGAAGTCTCATGTGATAGAGATAGGAAGTACTGATTGTGGGGTCTTTGGTGCTCCTTGAGCTTGCCCCCCCTCCAAAAAAAGCACCCAAAATATTTTGCTTCTCGTCCAAGAAGCTTCTTCAATTTGTTTTTTGGATGACAAGCAAAACGTTTTCAAAGAAAAAAAACACCAAGAAAGTCATATTGCCTTTTTTGGGGGGGGGGGAAGCACTTTGGCTTCTAACCACATAGTACATTGATTTATTTATCTTTATAAATCTTGGTTTATATTACTTTGCTCCAAGCTAAAAAGCCCCAGAGTTGTTGTAAACAGCAACAGAGAAGCTGTTTTAACCTCCCAATCATTTGTCTTCTCCTTTTCTTCGATTTCTCTATATTTGCAAGGGAGAAGGTTCAGCAAACAGAATGCCGTTTTGTGCGATGATATAACATCACTCATTCATGTTTCTTGCAGAAAACTCAATTATATGGCCAGGCTTTTGGCTGCACCTATGATATTACAGGAAATTCATATCGTCTGCTCTCTAATTTCCTGGCATTTTATCACTTTGGATTGATATAAAACTGGTCGATAACTGCAGTAAACTTGAAACGAATCAAAGGGATACCATTGAAATGATAAGATCCGGAAAAGCATCCAGCTCAGAAGGGTAATAAAATGTTTAAGGAGAAAATAGCTGCACACTTTTTTAAAAAAGCATTAGCCACCCTGGATTTTCCCTAGCAATTATTAACTAGGTTCAACCTTGGTGGTTTTTCTTTTTCTGTTTGAGAATAGCCAAGATGGGTTA